CCCATAGGTCCTCCCAGGGTGGTTGCTATGCTCTGTGAGTCATTGCTGTGCGCTTGTCCATAAAGTACACCTAGAGTCTTAAAGCATAGCGCCACCAGCTAACTTCTGATTGGTTCCTTGTCACGAGGCAGGCACCTAACCTCTAGTGACTAAGGCAAGGTCATAGTGAGCACGTGTTACTGTCATGGCTGTCGAAATGGGGGGCTGATCCCTTCAATACAATTTAGGATAGAAAGTGAATTAAGTACAACACTTTGGACTCACCAAGATAGGATAGATAATGGAGTATTTTTTTCTGAATTTGTCAAATGCTAATGGACTAGACATTGTTAATATAATTATTGCCTTATATATTATATTTATTGTATACAGTTTTTCTATTTTAGTTAAATCCTTTGCTTTTTATTTAAACAAAAAGGGGGAAATGTGAGATATTTTGTTTGTGTTCTGACAAATAAAGCTTGCTTGGAGTCAGAGGGCAGAGCTAACCACTACTTAACCATAGAGTTTTAGAGGACTGTAGAGAGGACAGGAAGTGGTAAGGCGGGGCTGAGATGGGATTTCCGCCCTTTAAATGGAGGAATGAGAGAGGTAGGAAGCGATTGGCTGCTACTCCTCTGCTTCTTTGACCCTTCAGGTTTTTAACCCCAATATCTGACTCCTAATTTTTATTGTTAAGATTAATTAAAATAATGCTTCTACTTTGAATCACTAATCTTCATGCTTCCACCTCCCATACACCAGGATTGGCGGAGTGTGTTTCTACAGTTAGGTCATATGGTGCTAGAGATGGAACTCAGGGCTTCATGCATGCTAGGCAAGCACTCTGACAACTAAGGTCTATCCAAGCTCTTCATTTCTGGGCTGTCTATTCTGTTCTGGAGGTCAATATGTATATTTTTATGGAGTACCATGTAGTTTTAATTACTATTGGCTTTGTAATATAGTTTGAAATCAGGTGGTATAATCAACTTTTTTTTTGTTTTAGCTCTTGTCTGCCTTGGCCATTTTTGTTGTTTTTATTATTCCATAGAAATTTTAGGATTAAGGGGCTAGAGTAATGTCTCAGCAGTTAAGAGTACTGTTGTTCCTCCAGAGGACATGGGTTCGATCCCTAGCAGCTGCATGGTGGCTCACAACTATCTGTAACTCCAGTTCCAGGGGACATGATGACCTTTTATTGCCACTGGGGGTACCAGGCATGCGCATGATGGGTGCACAGATAGCACATATATACACACATATACACATATAACACATATAGAAGGCATTTAGGATTATGTTTTCTACTTCTGTATAATATGACATTGAAGTTTTAACAAAAATTACTTTCAGCCTGGCGGTGGTGGCACACGCCTTTAATCCCAGCACTCGGGAGGCAGAGGCAGGTGGATCTCAAGACCAGCCTGGTCTACAGAGTGGAGTTCCAGGATAGGCTCCAAAGCCACGGAGAAATCCTGTCTCAAAACAAACAAAAATCAAACAACAACAACAACAAAGAGATTGCTTTACATCTGTCATTGCTTTAAATAGTGTGCACGTTTCAACAATGTTCATTTTTCCAGTATGTGAAGATGGGACATCCTTCCCCTTATTTGTACAGAGATAATGCTTCTAACAAATAGTAGTACAAAGACAAACAGAGAATGAAAACCAACAGTGTGTGTGTGGGGGGGGTGCTACTTCAGTCTCAGGCAGAACTGTGCATTCTCTCTCTCTCTCTGGGTATGTTTTCATGTATGTGTACATGTATGTCCATATGGAGGCCAGAGATTAATGAGTTAATGTTGGGTGTCTTCCTCAGTTGTTCTCCACCTTATTTTTTGAGGCAGGGTCTCTCACCGATCCTGGAGTTCACTGACTCTGCTACACTGGCTGCCAGCGAACCCTGGGAGTCTGCCCGTCTCTGCATCGGAGCTGGAGTTACAAAGGCACACCACTGCTCATGGCTGTGTATGTGGTGCTGGTGGTCTAAACCCAAGTCCTTAAGCTTGAATGGTGAACACTCTCACGGGGCCTTCTCCCCTCTGCCTACTTGCTGTCTTCTGTCCCCCTCAGGCAGGAAATACAAGGGCATTGCTCTTCCGGGTCTTAAATTGTAAATTCAATGTTTTTCATATATTATAAAATAAACAGTGGGTCATGCATGGCCAGCTTTTTTTTTTTTTAAACTAGTGATTAAACATAGGTAGGCCCAGGATTCTTCATCTAGACCAAGTTGCCCTTAAACTTGCAAGGTTCTCCCTGCCTCCTTCTAAGTACTGAGATTACAGAGTAGTCTCCCACTGTATTCTTTATTGTAAATTTAACTCACTGATGCTTGCAATTTTATTGATTTTTGGCTCGACATTTGCTTCCATAGTCCACCTATGGTTTCTTTCTTCCTTCCTTTATTTCTTCCTTCCTTTCTTTCTTTCTTTCTTTTCTTTTTTTTTTTTTTTTTGTTTTTGGAGATAGGGCTTCTCTGTGGCTTTGGAGGCTGTCCCGGAACTAGCTCTTGTATACCAGGCTGGTCTTGAACTCACTGAGATCTTCCTGCCTCTGCCTCCCAAGTGCTGGGATTAAAGGCCTGCACCACCAACACCTGGCCCCACTTATGTTTCAATTCAACTACACATTGACAAAGGGAGTTATGTCCCAATGAAAATAGTTGAAGACAAAAATAAAGCCCTGCTTTGTGGTACTTGCCAATTCCCTTAGTGTAAATACTCCCATTGTGGCTGATTTCAGGCTTCTTGTGTGACGTCACAGAAGTGGGAAGAGAGCAGAGACATAGCAGGCGGGCACAACAGAAGCAAGCGAGCTCAAGAACACAGATAGGCCAAGTGTGATGGCACACGCCTGTAATCCCAGCACCCAAGGACGAGGCAGAGACAGGAAGATGGTCACAGATTTGAAACCAGCTTTCTCTACATAGTGAGTTCCAGGCCAGCCAGGGCCGCATAATGAAATCCTGTCTCAGAATAGACAAACAAGAACATAAATAGTAATAAAAGGTAGTAAAATAATTAGAAAGTGATGGGTCTGAGCTTTTATCTTGATTTTAAGTGTTAGTTTCTGTAATACAGTGGCTAAGGAAGGACTCAAGGTTGGGAATCCCTGATGTGGACACCCAGGTTCACTGGCTAGCAGCTTCGCTGTGGGACAGAACCCAGTGACTGAGTCACTAGTACCTCATGTGAACTCCACCAAGCCTCAGCCCCCAGGATTTTCAGTCAACAACACAGTTGTTTTGTTATTACTTTTATTATTTGTGTGTGTGCATGTGTGTGTGTGTGTGTGTGTGTGTGTGTGTGTGTGTGTGTGTGAACAGTTTATAGGAGTTGGTTCTTGCCTTCCACAATGGGGGTCCTAAGCATTGAACTCGGGTTATTGGGCTTGGCAGCAAGTGCCATTGTATGCTGTCTTAGTTAGGGTTTTTATTGCTGTGAAGAGACACCATGACCACAGCAACTCTTATAAAGGAAAACATTTAATTGGGGTGGCTTACACTTCAGGGGTTCAGTCTATTTTTATCATGGTCTGACATGGCAGTGCACAGGCAGACATGTGCTGGAGAGGTAGCTGAGAGTTCTGCATCTTGTATAGGCAACAGGAAGTGGTTTGAGACACTGGGCATGGCTTGAGCATATATGAGACCTCAAAGCCCACCCCCACACTGACACATTTCCTCTAACAAGGTCATACCTTCTCCAACAAAGCCACAACTCCTAATAGTGCCATTCTCTTTGAGCTTATAGAGGCTAATTACATTCAAACTACTACACATGCTTGAGCCGTGTCTCCAGAATCACTGTAGTGGTTTGAATGAAAATGGCCCCATAGACACATACATTTGAATACGTGGTCCCCAGTTGGTAGAACTATTTGGGGAAGATTAGAAAGTGTGGCCTTGGTAGAGGAGGTGTGATGTTTCAAAAACCCACCCATTCCCAGTTAGCTCTCTCTCTTCCCAGTCCCCCTTGCCTGGAGGTTGTGACTCAAGATGAGAGCTCTCAGATACACCCCAGCACCATGCCTGCAGCCTGCTGCCATGTTCCAGTGGGTGACTACCCACTGAAACTGTGAGCCCCTGTGGTAGTTTGAATAACAATGACCCCATAGGCTCTCATACCTTTGAATGCTCAGTCACAAGGGAGTGGAACTCTTTGACAGAAGGATTAGGAGGTGTGGCCTTGTTGGAGGAGGTACATCACTAGGAGTAGGCTATGCCAGGCTCAGTGACTCTCTCTCTTTGCCTGTGGATCAGGGTATAGCTCTCAACTACTTCTCCAGCACCGTGCCTCCCATGCCTCCCATGCCTGCTGCCTTGCTGCCCACCATGATGACGGTGGACTAAACCTCTGAACCTGAAAGCCAGCCCCAATTAAATGCTTTCTTTGATGAGTTGCATCCATCATGGTGTCTCTTCACAGCAACAGAACAATGACTACGATAGCCCCCGATAAATTCTTCTAGAAGTTGCCTTCTAGATCTCAAAACCTGTATCTGAACCACCATAAGGAAGTCCCAAGTCCACAAACTAGCTCTTAAGAAAGATGGATCCCTTGTTTGTATTTTGCAGATAAGAAAAGCAAGAATCCCATGGAGGTGCGTCTATGAGAAACCAAATGATGCTCTGACGGCTGATCTAATTCCTACCGAACTACGTTTATTCTTCCCCAACCTCTAGCAAAAGCTCGCACAAGCAGGTTGCCCCGGCAAAACGCAGCCTGCAGTACTCACAGCGTGTCGCCTGGGGGCGCTCAGGTTGGAGAGGGAAGAGCGGCGCAGGTAGCTACAGACCTGCACTCTGCAGAGGCCACTCATGGCCACTAGAGGGAGCACGCGGCCCTCTGGGGGCGGAGCTTGCGGGTAGCACGCATGCGCCCGGAGGCAAGTGGTGGCGCTAGCCCGGGCGAAGGGCAAGACGGTGGCCGAGAGGGTTCCGGGAGGCGGACGGTGGCCGAGAAGGTCCGTCATGGAGCACCTGGAGCGCTGCGCGTGGTTTCTCCGCGGGACGCTGGTGAGGGCTGCGGTGCGGCGCTACCTGCCCTGGGTGCTGGTGGCCGCCATGCTGGCGGGCTCTGTCCTCAAGGAGCTGTCCCCGCTGCCCGAGTGCTACCTCAGCAACAAGCGCAACGTCCTCAACGTGTGAGTGCTCCAGACTCGGGGCCCCCGCTCCCCATGGAGCCGGCTCGCTGCCTGGGTGGGCGAGCCATCGGGAGGGATCCCTGTCCTGACAGCCGCGTCCGCGCGCGTGTGGCGACGCGGGGACCCTGGGAAAGCGAGTGACACTCGCGCCTTACGTTTGAGGATTCCGATGGGAGGGCCGAGGTGACGGGGTGGGTTGTCAGTGGCAGTGTGTACGGGGTGCGCTGGAGATGCTTCCCACCACCACCCCCTCCCGCCACCCCAGTTAGGCGCTGGCCCCCGTCCTGTTTGGGGAGATGTCACCTCCCTTCTGCGGGCTGGTCAGACAGCCCCCCACCACCCTGAGAGCTTTTCCCTGCCGGCCGTATATTAGGAGAAGAGTGAAGCCTTTGGTGCCCGTGACCTTTCTCCTGGATCTCCTTGGACTTTCTTAGTCATCTAAAGTGCATGGCAGTTGCCCAGGAAAGCAACCCCAGCGGACCTCTGTGGCACATCTCTCCAGCTCCACCCACTTCTTTCCCAGTCTTTTAAAATACTGACTTAAAAAGTTTATTGCACAAAACACCGTTGCAGCAATACAGGGAGTTTGGAAGCTGAAGCCGCTCCTTCGAGTGAGCCTAAGATTAGAGTTTCCAGCATGCTGAGAGTCTTAACTCTTCTTAGGTAACCGAAACCCTGTTTTCTTTTTTTGGCAGCTGGATCAGGTTTTTGGCAGACCTTAGCTTTGGCAAGGCTTTCCTTATCAATGCCAGTGAAGGCTTTAGTGACAGGCTCTTTGGTGGTGTCTGAGGAACTACTGGAACCTAGGGCAGAGGCTTCTGTCCTTGGCCCACCTTCATTCTTACCCACTTGGTGACTGGGCTAAGAATAGAGAGTGAGGGTGATAGTTGCCTCGGAGCTCTTTGTGTGTTTTCTGCAGCTCACCCCCAGGTCAGCCACCTTTTGTGAGCACAGGTCAGGCAGACATGGAAGCTGTTGTTTTATCTGGCCTGATGAACCAGGAGCCCAGCATGCTGGCACACTAGTCTGTTGTTTAGGGGTAGCCATGGATGCTAATTTTTGTTTCAAGACCTGGCGCTAATTAATGGGAGGGAACTGGCAGTGACTCATTGAATCTGAGAGAGATTTTGAAAACTCCTTGGGTGCTCTGGGCTTAAGAGCTGAGGGAACTGGGTCCTGAAGATACAGTAACAAGTAGAGTCAGAGGCAGGATTGGAACCCTGGTCCTGTGGCTTGAAGTAAAGCTCTTTCTTATAAGACTTACCAGCCTGTAGGAAAGAACGCTGGAGTGGTAGAGAAGGGCTTTGGGGTTGGGCAAAGTGTGTCTCAATGTGCGTTTGCTGTTATGTGTGTGGCCCTGGCGAAGTACTCAGTTTTCTGAGCCCCCAGAGTCTGTCTGTAAAAAGGGACAGATGAGGGCTGGGGTACTACTCAGCTGACAGAGTAGTACCCCTAGCATGCACCCTGGGTTTGAGCCCCAACACCACATAAAACTGCCTGTGGTGAGACATACCTGTGATGGCACCACCAGAGATGGGGAAGCAGATGGGCTAGTTCAAGACCACCCTCAGCTCCACAGGCGGGGGAGCCAGCCTGGGCTGTACTTACAGACAAATGACCGTTTCCTCCTCAGCTAACTGTGAATTCAGTGTAAGAGAATGTGTGTGAGCATGTCTGCCATTTGATAGATGTTCAGTTATTGCTTTCCTGAGCAAATAGCACAACTAGAAAGTTGCAGGCCTTCCATTCGGACCCCAGGCCACCCCTTATCACCTCCACTTTGGCATGGTATATCTATATGGCTTCTTGTCACCTTACAGAGTTACAGATGAACTAATTTCACTACTTAGAAAATAAAGCATGTGTTAGCATGTTTTAAGGATTCAAACATGGTAGCCGTTTGGGTGGATAGCTCTGATCAATTTCATTTAACTTCCTTTGGGGTCTTAGATACTTGAAGCACGGTGACACTGTTTCCTATCTGATGTCTCCTCTTCACTTGAACTTTCCTCCTCTATCAGGTACTTTGTTAAAGTGGCCTGGGCCTGGACAGTCTGTCTCCTTCTGCCTTTCATTGCCCTCACCAACTACCACCTGACGGGCAAGGCCGGCCTGGTCCTGCGGCGGTTGAGCACCCTGCTGGTGGGCACAGCCATCTGGTATTTCTGCACGGCCCTCTTCTCCAACATTGAGCACTACACAGGCAGCTGCTACCAGTCCCCAGCCCTGGAGGGCATCAGACAGGAGCATCAGAGCAAGCAGCAATGCCACCGGGAAGGGGGCTTCTGGCACGGCTTTGACATCTCAGGCCACTCCTTCCTGCTGACCTTCTGTGCGCTCATGATCGTGGAGGAGATGGCCGTGTTGGATGAGGTGAAGACAGATCGCGGCCACCACCTCCACACTGCCATCACCACTCTGGTTGTCGCCCTGGGCTTTCTGACCTTAATCTGGGTCTGGATGTTTTTGTGCACAGCCGTTTATTTCCACAACTTGACCCAGAAGGTGTTCGGCACCTTTTTTGGTTTGCTGGGCTGGTATGGGACATATGGGTACTGGTACCTGAAGTCCTTCTCCCCAGGGCTTCCTCCCCAGAGCTCTAGTTTGACTCTGAAGCAAGATACTTACAAGAAATAAAAGAGAAACAAGTGAGGACAGGAGGACAGTGGCTGACAGATTTTTCCACCTACTGCGACTGGCTGAACTATGGGTCCCGCTTTGGAGAAGATGCTTACCAGGCACTTCTGTAGTGGCTGGAGTCTGGGGAACACACTTAGTCCTCAGACTCCGCTGGTGATGCCACCCTGTTGCCAGCACCACCATTCCTGTCAGACACTACTCGTCTCTGGCAAGATGTGACCTAAGCTGTTCCCAGAGGGAGAGCTAAGGCTCATCAGAGGGACAGTAGACAGCCTCATGGCATGGGTCAAGGGGAAACCAGAGCTACAGGACTCTCTCTGTTGTGATCTCCCTGGCTCTGGTTCTCTTGAGAGTTTAGTGACCACAGTAAGGCTGTCCTTTTAACAGTGTTTCCCAATAGTTGATCCTAAGATGAGCATTTATCTCTAGCAGGTTTTTTATTAAACACCCCGATGCCTACAACACACTCTCTGGCTGTAGTTTCCACCTCCTCTTTGGAATATTGACAGCTGTACCTGGCTATGACCAGTTCCCAACAGGAGGCCGCAACCCTGCAGTGCCCGGATGATTTTTATGTAGTGAACAATGAAACGATTTTTCTGTCTGTGCTGTCTGTTGTTATGTGTCAGTTTTTGGAGCAGTAACGGAGAACTCCATTTCTCCCTCTTCTCCCATGAGTGAGTGCTGTATGGTTTTTAATTGTCACTATGACATTTGTTCTTTGTTGACAAAGCTCCAGGACTGCACTTTGGCATGTGTAAAAATTGTTCTGAGAGTTTTGTTTTGTTTTTGTTTTTTAGAACACTAACTTTTTATAAACCAAACTCCTGACTTATTGCATTAAATTCCACCTCATAGGAATGTCCCCCCTGTTAAGAGTAAAACTGGAGCCAGAGAGCATGGTGCTGCACGCCTTTAACCCCAGCACGGAGAAGGCAGAGGCAGGCAGAGCTCTGTGAGTGTGGGGCCAGTCTGGTCTATATATCTAGCTCCAGATTAGCCAGAGCTGCACAGTGAGATCCTGTCTCAAAAAAATAAAACAAAACAAATAACCAAAAAGCAAGACTAAAGCTGGAAATCAGACACTTCATTATTTAATGAATTTTTAGCTGAGCGAGCATTTCTGTAAAGTGCTTGTTGGTACTGAGGCTGTCCTGCCCCTCTGCTGGTCTGGTGGCAGACACAGAATAGGGTTCAGGGTCATAGGATCAAAGGACAAGTACCATAGACAAGGAATTTTTACCTTTGGAGAAGATTATGATAATTCAGAAGTGAAATGAATGTCTCCCTCTGATGCAAGAAACCAGCCATATTACATACTGCCGCCATGCAAAGTTGTCCGTATTACATAGTGGCATGACTTTGACCCCACCTCCTTTTCCTTGCCCCTTCAACAGAACAACTCTAAAAGGGGGCCATTCAAGAGCCGTGACATTCTCTTGGTAGCACTTCCCAGCTTCCAGCCTTGTCATTATGTGGCCTTCACTGAGACTGGCTGGGGCTAGACGCCTTGTCTCCCATGTCCCACATGGCAAGCTTCCAGTCTCTGAGAAGAGGGCCCCTTTCCCTCCCAGGTGATCTCTTAAGCCTGTCACACTGAGCCCCATCTTTTGGATGATCAGCCTTGTAGCTGCTTTGATGCCTCTTCCTCAGCAGAGCTGGGGAATGGCTGCCTGATAAGCTTTGGCCTGCCTGACCTGACTCCAGCTCAGGTTGTTAGGTGCGTAGTAAGTTAAGAATAATTCCTTTCTTTCTTTTAATTTATTTTTTTTATTTAATTAAAAACTTATTTTTTGAGTCAAGGTCTCAATATGCAGCCCTGGCTTTCCTGGAACTCACTGTGTGCGTCAGGCTGTTCCTAGACTCCCAGAGATCTGCCTGCCTCTGTCTCCTTAGTGCTGAGATTAAACATGAGCTAATATTAAAGCTACCACATCTGGCTACTAAGTAATTTTTGTAATATAAGGACATATTTAAAATGCGTATTTCATAACCTGTTGAGCTACAGGTCAGCTTGACCATTGGCAGTGTAAGATGTGAGATGTTGTTACCAAAAGGCAGGCAGGCAGTAAGGGGCCCTGTGCTGCGCTGCGGGGCATTGATGAGTTGACAGTGGACTGAAAGGTGTTTCACCTTCTGGGGGTTTCCACCCATCCCCTCAGGGTAGGAATGGGCCCCGGGGGAGATGGTAGAGCTGGTCACCGGATAGTCTTCAGGCTTCATGTCACAACGGAAGGGAGCAGCCATGGGGTGCACCGAGAAGTTCATTGTCACATTAAGGCCCTGGGCGTTTTTCTCACGGGGAGGGGGGGGTGTCTGACCAGGTTTAACTTTAAACTGACTACATGTGGGAACTCTTAGTTGCTCAGTGTTCTCTACATATTAGATGGATTGGCTTACATGTGTTCATTCTTAGTACTCCCTGCCTTTCCTCTCTCAGACCCAGAGATGGGAACCCAGGGTTTGTTACTGGGCAAACCATCTATGCCTGGGCTACACCCTGAGTTTTTGGGAACCCTTGCCTTCTCAGGAGTATGTCTTCCCTCCTATGTGAGGAAGCATGGCATGAGTGAGTGTTTGGGCTTGCACAACCATGAGATGTAGGTTTGAACGTTGGCATCACTCCCAATCTACCTGACCAGTGTGCAAGCCTTGCGATTCTTTTAGCATTAAAGGAAGTGTCATGTAAGGTGCTGAGCATGTGTGCTAACCAGGCTATTATCTCCAAGTCTTTCTCTTGACAGCATTTAGAATGGTCCAGCTCTCCTAGAGAAAGCAGAGTAACTAACATCTTTTGGGAAGCACTCACGCACTTGGGTCTCACATTGAAATAATCTCATGTCATCTTTTAGAGTGTCTGTTATCCCTAGGTGTTAAACATGAGGCTTTGGGGGCATCTGACCAGAGTTGTGCCACGCTGTCTTGTTTCCCTGTGTGGAGGTTTGCTCACTCACTCCCATGTGCATCTGTCATTGTCTGGGTACCAGATTGTATTTAGCGAATGGCTCATGCCACTGTTGTATACACACAGAGCCTATGTGTAAACAAGCAAATTAAAGTATACTGGAGATAATGGAATCGTACATTATGGAGTTTGGTGTATTCCTTTCTGTATTTGTTTTTAATTTAGGTTTTTTTTTTTTTAACTTTAACTTTTATGGGGGCAGATTTCAGGACAGCTCTGGCTGTCCTGGAACTTGTTCTGTAGACCAGACTGGCCTCAAACTCTCAGAGATCTGCCTGCCTCTGCCTCCCGAATGCTGGAATTAAAGCCACCACCTGGCTTAATTTTAACTTTTAAATTAAATTAAATTTGTGCATGTGTGTGTGAAATTTGTGCACACACAGGCACACACACACACACACACACACACACACATACACATGCGCGCTGCTCAAATGCACTATGGCACACAGGTGAAGATCAGAGGACAACTTGCACGAGTTAATTCTCTCTCTTCTACCATGCAGGACTTTCAGGTCAAACTCAGGTTTGGGAGCAGGTGCCTTCCCCCAGGAGTCATCTTGTTGACTCTAGTTTTAAAACTTTATTTATTATTATTATTGTGTGTGTGATGCGTCTGTTTGTGCACATGAGCCATAGCCTACATGTGGGGGTTAGAGGACAGCGTTGTGGAGTTAGTTCTCTCCTGCTACGCGAACCTCGGGATCCAACCTAGCCCTTTAGATGTGGCATCAGGTGCTTTGCCCATGAGCCAAGTTGCTGGCCCAGACTCAGGCCACTTCTGTCCTTTCTTGAATTATGCTCACAGGAGGCATCTTATAGCTGGAGCGTCTCTGGCTGTTTCACATAAGTCCTTTGTCCTAAGTATCATTCAGCCTGCCTTACTCTTTTCTCTGTCATTGGATCCTGAGGTCTGGGTCAGCCAGGCCTGAGAGTTGTCCCCTTGGCAGAAGGAGAGAGGCAGACCTCACAGACAGAACACTGAAGAGCAGTGACAGTGTACTGGGTAAGGTCACTTTGCAGCCCTGGGACCCGCCACATGCAGAATAGCATGTTGTGCCTTTCCCCCATTCGCTGGCAGCCTGGCCTACTTGGCAACTCTACACAGTGTGTGTTGAAAGCCTTTCAGATCCGAGATTAGAATCTCCTCACGCTGTTTGGTCCTACAGCAGCAGCCAACTCGACATTCTGCTGCAAGCTAGGTGCAGAGTAGTTCACCTCAGTAGGTTTGACTTGGAGTCATCCCTTCCTAGCTAAAGTGGTGTGCTGGGATTATAAAGATGACTGTGGTACAGGTGTGCACTTCAGGAAAGAGAGCCCCAGCCACCATCAAGTGTCCTGAGTGTTAGCACAAGGTCAGGACCTGGGAACATTGAACAGAGAACCTGCTTCCCTGGGGATCCAGAAACACATTCATAGAAGGTAACATTCCTTTTGGTCTGAAAGGATGGAGAAGAATTCGAACACTTCCACAGGAAAGGCTAGCCAAGGCAGGGATGGCACCCAAAGTCATATAGATAATTCCATGACTTCTGTCCAGAGGGGGAGCCTAATTTTCCTCATTTTCAAAAGCCCTGGAGACTGAAGAAAGACTTAGGCAGTTGGTGGAACCTGTAGTTATGCCCTGCTTTGATCCAAATGGTTCTGGGCTCTGTTAGATGCCTGGCTTGGGCAGGTTCCACCACTGCTTTTACTGCTCTTCTGTGATCTTGAACCAGCAACAGCATCTCTGGGCCTCAGTTTCCTCATCTGATAAGCAATGGGTAGCCTGGAGAACCTCGGTAACCCTGGGATCCGCTCTATTCTCCATTTCTCTGTTTTGCTTGGTGAAAAGTCCCTCCTGAGTTCATTAGGACTTATCTTAGGAAACTCCCACTTGGGTTGAGTGGCAGCTGGCTTCCCAGTGGGTGACAGAAGGAAAGTTTGGGCTGCAGCTGCTCACTGCCCACCTTCTATTTCTCCGTGTGAACATCTGGATGAGTGCTGACATGAGCACCTGGGCCCAGATGGGCCTTCTCAGCACAGGGAAGCAAACCTAATTCCTAGCTTAGGCACCGCTGGGAACTGTTCTAGTAACCTTGGGGCCATGTCTGGGGAATTTTACTGTTGAACACACAGTGCAGAGCACGGATACTCTCCTGCCTTAGAAAGGGTGGCAGATCGGCACCACCTGAACAGATGATGACCAGGCTGTGTTCACACTTCATGCATGCAGGTCTAACCATCTCGAGGCAGGGGTTGTGCTGTGAGACACAGGAAGACTTCATGACAGCTGCCTGCAAAAATGTCAAGAACTCAGATGCTAATTAGTCACACAATGATTGTAGTTCCTTACTAATAATTGAATACAGCCACCAGGAAGAATGAATGATGTAGGTGATGTCAACTGTGAAGGTAGGAGGAGATCTGGGCTGTGTGTCCATGTTCAGGTCAACCTCTAAGCCAGTTTCTGGAGGTAACAGTGCCTGGTTTCACTCGGTGGACACAGGCTGGAAGGAGAGGAGCCTCGGTGTACTGAGATCCGCCAAGTACAGGGCGCACAGCATTAAGGCAGGGACATGGACATGCCTTCTGGGAGTGCTGTGACTGGACAGACAATGGAATGAGTGAACCCAACAGTGCATGAACCATCCAGAGCAGAGTGTTCCTCAGTTTAGGACAAATAACCAAGAAGAACTATTTTTTTTGGGGGGGGGTGTTTCGAGACAGGCTCTCATTTTGTATCTGTGGCTGGCAGAACTCAGGGAGATGTGTCTGCCTCTGCCTCCCAAGCGCTAGGTTTAAAGGTGTGTGCCACCACACCTGATTCGTCTTGGCTCCTGGCTGGCTCAGGTGGGGCTGGCTCTATTACTTTGGGCTGGAGGTAAGGCAGAACATTGCAGGCAGGAACATGTAGAAGAGGAGACAGCTTACCCCTGGCAGCCGAGAAGAGTACCCCGAGGGGGCCGTCCACGGCTGGGTGTGCTTGGACACATTTGTAATCCTAGCACTTGGTAAGTGGAATCAGAAAGAGGAAGGAGTTCAAGGTTGTCCTTAGATACATAGCAAGTTTGAGGCCAGCCTGAGCTACATGAAACCCTGTTTCAAAACAAAGGCACACCCTCTGGGATCTGATTGGAGGGTCCTCTAGGCCTCAACTTCCACGATCTGTTTAGATTTGGAGCCTATCAATGGACTAAACCATCAATAGGTCAAAGTGTACATGGTCTACTCCTCTTGGTGCTTTCCTCATCTCATAGGCATCTCCTGTTGGCTCAGGTTGACAGTCAGGGCTGACCATCCCACTGCCCTGGTGTCACCACTTAGTCCCATACACCCTGCCTAGAGCATTCACACACAAAGGAGTGAGGAATTTAGCCCAGAGCACCTGAGTTCATATCCTAGCTTCACCCGGCATGCTGGCTGTGTGATGGTGGGCTGGTTTCTGGACCTCTCTGTGCCCTGGTTTTCATAGGGCTATGGGGATGAATCAACACTGGAGAAGTCACTAGATGAGTGGCTCTGGATGCATGTCGAGTCCTAAGCTGTGCCGTTGTTGCCACCTCTACATAGGGAAGGTTTCAATTCTGATGGACTTCCAGGTAGGTTAACTGTGCAGTGTAGATGTGGAGAGCCACGTCCCCAGGGTCTAACTCTAGTCAGATGTCTGGGTTGACAAAGGATATCAGAAAGCAGGGGAGCTGATTCCTAGGGCAGCTAACAGAAAAGGACATTGGGCATATGGTGTCCATGTAGCCAGGGCATACCTCAACTGTTGGGTGCCCCTGTGTCCCCCTTCAGGTATCACTCTGTCCCCCTCGGGTTCCCCTGCGCACCTGTGGGGCATCCCTGTGCACCGCTGGGGTTCCCCTGTGCACCTGTGGGGTATCCCTGTGCACCCCTGGGGTTCCCCTGTGCACCTGTGGGGCATCCCTGTGCACCCCTTCTGTTCCCCTGCGCCCCTGTGGGGCATCCCTGTGCACCCCTGGGGTTCCCCTGCGCACCTGTGGGGCATCCCTGTGCACCCCTGGGGTTCCCCTGCGCACCTGTGGGGCATCCCTGTGCACCCCTGGGGTTCCCCTGCGCACCTGTGGGGCATCCCTGTGCACCCCTGGGGTTCCCCTGCGCACCTGTGGGGTATCCCTGTGCACCGGTGGGGTTTCCCTGTGCACCCCTGGGGTTCCCCTGTGCACCTGTGGGGTTTCCCTGTGCTGTAGGAGCACAGCGGAGGAAGCAGGTGTCAGATGCTGATGTCCAGCTGATGCGATTAGAAGCACTGGGCCTGAGGACAAGCAGACAGCATTCAGATCCTATCAACTTCTCGGCTGTGTGGTCCTGGGCAGAACCTTTAGCCTCTCTGAGCCCGTTACTCCTCTGTGGGATGACTGTAGCACTTTCTGCTGCACTAGCCTTTGCTTGGCTTAATGCAATCATAGATGGGTAAACATAAGCTTTAAAATGTTGGGTACCTATGAGAACCACTTTTTATTGCCTAATGAATATCTTTCTTGGAAGCCCAGAGACTATAATGCCCAAATGTCCCCAATAACCCTAAGATCATTTCATGTCATCCATATATTAAACCATGCAACATTGAATAAGGCAAGCGACTGATAATTGTCATTTTTCCTGGGGGTGGGGAAAGGGACTCACTATGTAGCTCTGGCTGGCCTGCACTCTCTGTAGACCAGGCTGGCCTCAAACTCACAGACATCCATCTGCCTCTGCCTTTCAAGTGCTGGGATTAAAGGCATGCATCACAGCATCCAGCTGTTCTTGTATTTTTTAGTCCAGTTCCCAACAGCTATTTTTCTTTACCTGCAGAAAGAAAATTAAAAACATTTTATTTTTATATTTAATTATGTGGATATATGTGTGGTTGTGCATATGGGTGCAGTACCTACAGAGACCAGGACAGAGCATTGGGTACCCTGGAGCTGGAGTTAACTAGGTATTGGGCACTGAGCTTGGGTCCCCTGTAAGAGAGCTATGTTCTCTTAACCACTGAGCCATCTCCAGCCCCAGAATCTGACATCTGATTGTATTGTATCACACCTGGTTCTTCGACACCTGGACCAAGAGCAAGGGCTCTAGTTCCTAACACATGTGGCTTTGTAGCTCGACACTGCCACTGTGTAA